TCTTTCTTGAGAACCAGTTGCTCTGTCTTGTCATCCTTTCTATTTCTGTCTAAGAAGTTATTTTTCCAGCTCCTTTCCAGTACATCTTATAAATAAATAGCAGGATCCAGAGCTTCACTGAACATGGCCAGATAAAGCAGTGCTTTTGCTATGGAGCAGATCAGTTGGGTGAATCTGTGTCCATGTTCATGGGACTGGAACAAAGAAAACATGTTACTTTAATATCTTTATAACAGATTCAACAGAATGGACTTTATCATTTAGTTGCAATGAATTTTGTTAAACCTACATTTCAGGGGCTAAAAAGCAGTATAAGTTCTAGCAGATTATCATTGTAAACTTTGAATTCAGAAAGGAAAAAGACAACAGTCATTTTGCCCTTTTACCCTTTTTACTTTTCTGAGATTCTGAATCTTCTTTTGTGAGGTCTTGGTTGGTGTGTGGTGTTGGGACAAGCCATCAGGCTTGGTGTCGCGGGAAGGGAGTTGAGATAATTGCTGACTGATGGGGAACGGACAGAAAGCACAGAAGCAAAGGCTTAGTGAGCGTCTCTCTCACCAGTGTGCTGCGCACTCAGCCACACTGTGATGGCACAGAAGCCTGCTGGTCAGAGCGACGGCCATGCCCCTCAGATGGAGCTAGTGTTCACATCGAACATACGGTCGTGAGATCAGCAGAGCAGGAGGAGGTGGTTGAAATGTCTTGGATTACATGGAAACATCTTGGCAGCAATATTCTGGACGTGTCTGAATGTAACGTTCTGACTGCATTCTGAGGGAGCAAGTGCAGGCGCCCTCCTGTGAGCTTTGGTCTCTAAAGGTGGGTGAGGGTTCTCTTGAATGTGGTTTCTCTGACACAGCTCACCCCCCTTTAGAACCAAGACTGGAAAGTCTGCAGATGGGGAAGGGGTTGAGCTGTCAGAACCAACTTCCTGGTAGTCTCTCGCCCTTACGGCTTAGGATCCAGAGTAAACTCTGATGCCTGAAGCTGCATGGGTTCCTGCTGACAGCAGAGAGGTCACCAAGGGGATCTGGAGTGCCCCCTTTGCCTGGTTGCCCAGTACACAGCTGCTCAGTGCCTGTGGGACGCCAGTGCCGGGTCACCGTCTCCTAGCCCAGCCGCTGTTGTGTGGGGGCCGTGCAGGGCACGGCGTGCTTTGCACTTCCCAGCAGGGCAGAGACGGCTCCCAGCCGCGGCCCAGAAGCTGACTGTCTGCTGCCTGCCTCAGCTTTCCTGAAAGCCTGATGGATGAACCTTCGCTGCAGAGAGGGGGCCAAGGTCAGAGTCGCTCTGCCTTCCTGAAGGCTGCGATGGACTGACTCCAGGACTATGCCACTGCAGCCCTGTTTGAAGGTGGAAAGCGAGTATGAGACCTCACATGCCAGACTCCAGGAGAGGTGCTGGTCTCAGTGATGAGGCGCCACCACGTGCTTTGACGACTACTGTAAATGTGTTGTTCACTTTGATTTAGCCTCAAATAAAAGATGGGTAGTTTAACTTTTGAGGCCATCAAATTAGGAAATCATACACTGTGTTAATAGTCCAGTGGAGGCAGACCTGGAAGCTTTTCCATAAAGCGTAATAGAACAGGTGACAGTTTGCTGATGTTTACTGGTGAACAAGGCAAAGAGGGGTTGTGACTGTTTTCCTTTTCTAACACCTCTTCACTGCTGTGTGCAAAAATCATTTTCCTTTGTTGAAAAGATGGTGTATTCTGGTAATGCCATCAGAGCTGTAGGCTAAGGGGGAGAGATGTGTACAAGGTCATGGTGTTGCCCAGATAAAATGGGAAACCCTGAGTTGCTGAGAACTGGTTGGCAAATATAAGTGGAAATTCCTGCCCTTAGAATTCCCTGATTTAGAAGTATTCCAAATACCTTTTATTCTAAAAAAGTCTAATCCTTTCCCACTAGTTGCTTCTGTGGTCCAGGTAACACTGTTGACTTTATTGAATGTCTCCTGTTGGCAGAACTATATCCATGTGCTAGAGAGAGATTTGGAAACCCAGAACTTAAGTGTCCACATCATACAGAGCCGGCACAGGGCAGGTTGTGTTTCTCCTGAGCATCTGTTTTAGATTCCCAACAAAGCAGAACCTTGGGGAAGGCTTTGAGTGCAGGTAGCTTATTTGGGAAGGCGTCTCAAGAAGCAGGAGTTGAGGGAGTGGGGGAGGTGAGGCCGGGAAGGGGGGAAAGCCAGTACAGGCGTGTGTGCCCAAGGCCACAGGGCCCCGCGTCACCAGGACTTCTGAGGGGCATTCGGTGTGCCTCCCAGAGCCGCCCGCCTGTGCACGAGAGCTTGGCCACTCAGCCACCAGCTCCCCACAGTCATTCCACCACAGTGCCTGTGACATGTGGACAGGGTCGGAGGAGGCCCCGTGGCCAGAAATGAGAAGCCCGCGGGTATGTGGCTTTAACGAGGTGTCAGCAGCGGCCCTGAGCCTCCTCCGAGCTGACCCGTGTGGCCGTGGCTGAGAGCGGAGCCCCTCAGGCATGCATTACGGACAGAAGCAGGCCTGCGGTGGGAGAGAACCGGGGCGCTGTTGACACTCCAGCAGGAGGTGTCTAATCCGGAGAGTGCGGGAAGGGCCTGGGAGAGCCTCCTGCAGGAGGTGGTTTCCCGGCTGAGACAAGACCAGAGAGGTAAACTGCACGGTCGGGATGGTGTGGCTGGAGCTTTGGCTGCAAAGGAAGATGTGGTGAGGGAAGGTCAGGAAGAACTTCAAGACTGAAGGCATTTAGACTTTATCCTAAGAGCAGTCGGGGTCAGGGAAGAGGTACTTAAACAGAAAGACGTGCTAAGCTTCGTGTTTTAGGAAACTCACTCTAAAGACAGCATATATTAATAGCATTGATGCCAGGATGGAACAAGTGAGTGATGGGACCAGATAAAAGTCAGGGAGACAAGTGAAGAGGCTGCTGATGTATCCAAGTGAGAGAAAATAAAACTGAGAACCAATATAGTGCAGCAGGTGAGAAGTGGAAACATTTGAGCCATATTAAGTTTCCTCATCCCCCCTCATGCTCTGTTCCTGGTAAAATATCAGCACCTGCAATGCAGGAGACACACGTTCAATCCCTGGGTCAGGAAGATCCTCTGGAGAAGGAAATGGCAACCCACTCCAGTATTCTTGCCTGGAGAATCCCATGGACAGAGGAGCCTGGCGGCCTACAGGCTCTTCACTTGTCTTCACTTGTCTCCATGGGGTTGCAAAGATGTGGACATCATTGAGCGACCAAGCACACACTCATGCTCTGTTCCTGGTAAAATAGAGTCTGTGTGTGTGGATGGAGAGACTGTTGTAGGGACTGAGTTATCTGGAAAAGAATTAGAAAGTATGACTTGAAAGCTCATTAAAAACTGTTTGGAAAATTCATAAGCAAATTGGGAACAAAGTAGCCATTAGGAGATCTCTCCAGTAAACTCCCACACTGGAGGTGAGAGCACAGTGCCCCACCCTGAGGGCCAGAAAGGCCTGTCTTATCCTGGAGCTGCACCTGCTCTTGGTTTGAGCTTTGCTGTAGCATTTAACCTCTCCACTCTTGGCTTATTTGTCCAACTTAGTGAGGACAGTGACGCCTGCCCAGCCTCTTCTGAGTTGATCTTAAGCTGACAGCATGTAGTAGGGTATGACCACGACAGGGAAGCTAACATCCCCTCCACCAGTATGAACAGAATGAGAATGTGAAGGGTAACTGTCCAGCCCCTAGAGTCTCGTGTTCACTGTGGACACTGGCCTGTTGCCTCTCTCCAGGGCAGAGGTAGTAAGCTGTCCCTCCCCGGCACTGTGCTGCAGGGAGGTGGGACTTCAGAATAATTGGTGAGTCAAGATCACCTCGAAGGTTCCTCCTCCACCTCTGAGACTCAGTGCTCCTTTTTCACAGGCATTAGGGAGAATAAGATGAGAAAATGGCCATGAAAAGCACTTGGAGAATTAGCCTTCTAGACAAGTGAGAGGTACTATTATCAATGTTATCAGTAGGCCTTGTGATGTTAGCTCATAGAGTTTTTAAAAGTTTTAACTCTCCTGCATATCCCAGTAGAGCAGAAAATGATTTCTAATTTTCTGTATGCTGGTATATAACTTGTTTTACTTTCTAAAGAGACCAAAAGCCATGTTCCTTCTCTAGTTCCTTCTTCTTATAGAGCCTTCTTACTAGCTGCAGTTTGTTTTGCTTATTTGAACTCACACATTTAACATTGACTAGAAACATGCAACCTGCCAGGACTTGAACTTGGGCATGTGAGGTTTCTCCTGCCGTCCATGATAGCGTCACCAGCAAGCAGAGCACAGGCTGTACATTCCTTGCTCTCGGGGTGAGGAATGTTCTCCACCTCCTGGGAAAAACCAGGGTCCTGATTCATAGGAGTTGAAAGGAAATGATCTTCAGAGTCTTTTAAAGATAGTATGACCTCTTGCTCATCAGTGTTGGGATCTGGTTCTCGTTGTCTTGAAAGGATTCCCTGGGGCTTTAGTGCATAGATGATGACAGTGACACAGGGTGGATAACATTCACCTTGCACCTTTACTCTGGGCCAGGTGCTGTCTTAAGCACTTTACATAGAAGAGAGACTACTGCCCTGTGAGTAAGTGTTCATTTTGTAGATTAGGAAACCAAGGCAGATATATTGATAGTTAAATAACTTGCCTAAAGACACGTGGTTCAAGTTGGATATGAACCATGGCATGTGATTCTAGACCAGGACTGAGTCATGCTGGGCTTCTCGCTCCTGCAGGCAGAGGCCTGTCTGTCATACGCACCAGAGAGAGGTCATGAGGATCCCCTGTCCCCGGCTTGTTACAGCGGCGGGGGCGCCCAGCAGGGAGAGCGAGTCAGAGCTCTGGCCTCTCTACCGTGTTCTCCCTCCGACAGGAAGCAGGCACGGCTGCCATTAAGATAAGGAGCTCGAATCAGGGAGGCCCATGCAGTCAGAAAAACCGTTACTCAAGAGATCAGAATTTCTACATGCTCCATGTTTCATGTTTTTGCTTCCCCTAGGTTAAAAAGATCAAGTGGCATGAGCAGCCTTTTGGGGAAAATCGGAGCCAAGAAGCAGAAGATGAGCACCCTAGAGAAGTCTAAGCTGGACTGGGAGAGCTTCAAGGAGGAAGAGGGCATTGGCGAGGAGCTAGCCATCCACAACCGAGGGAAGGAGGGGTAAGAACCCGCGCGTTCTGTTCCTCTGACGCCCTCGAGGCCGCGGGAGAGCTCTTTGCCCACACGCCACCCCGTGTGAGTAGGCGGGAGCTCTCCACAGTGAGGTGAAAACTGTGAGTGCTCGCTTTGCTGCTGAAGCTCTGCTCTCATGGGCAGGTCCCTCCGGGGAGGGAGACACTGGGGTGATGGGCTGAGGGTGGGAGGGCGTGTGAGCAGGAACCCCCTGGGGAACAGGCATGGCTGCCACAGAGACTCTGCTGGCGTGCGGCTCCTGTGAGCTGTGTCAGCTCCTTCGTTCGTGTGGCCAGATTGGCTCACCGTATCAGCCTTGGCCTCATCCGAATTATTTGGTCTTCTGAGAAGCCAGGCAAACACAGAGCCGGTGGAGTGCCTAGATGTTGTCACATTATTGTGGGACTTTTTTGTTTGGGTTATCTTGACCCGCGTGGGCCTTCACCCTTGGTTTCAACCTGTGTGACACACCAGCCCTCAGACAACATCTGACCATCACGTGTACCCTCTTCCTCTTCACTTAGCAGTACAAAGAGGATGTCCATAAACTCTGCACAGGCATATCCCAGGAGAAATGGTTTTCAGTGGTTTCTTAGGAACCTCAGAAGAAGCCAAGAACAAAGGGACTGCAAAACTGGGTCCGTGGCTCTGAGTCCACTCCTGTCCCTTGCAGAGGCACCTGTGGCCCGGTGGACGGCCCGGCGCCCCCACCCCTACAGAGAGAGAGGCGCGAGTGGCCCAGCACCGCCCCCCCACTACAGAGAGAGAGAGAGGTGCGCAGTGGCCCAGCGGATGGCCCGGCACCCACAGTGCCACCACCCCTACAGAGAAAGGGAGGCCAGCATGACCCAGCACCACCACCACCACCCCCCCCCCACAGAGAGAGAGGCGTGCGTGGCCCGGCCCGGCAGCCCCGCCCCTCGCCGACAAGCGCTTTCCTGCAGTCCCTATGCGTCCCTGAGGCTCAGCTCCATTGCCAGTAAACTGGGGTGATCGAGAGGTTGGTGGTCTTGATGGTCATGAGGCTGTCGTGAGACAAAACATGTGATCTGCTTATCCTGTGTATAGCTATATAGCACAGGCAGACCTCAGAGGTACTGCGGGCTCAGTTCCAGACCAACGCGATGAAGCAAATAACACAATAAAGCCTTCATGTGAATTTTTTGGTTTCCCAGTGGGTATAAGTTATGTTTATACTATACTGATAGTTTGTTAAGTGTTCAAGCATTGTATGTAGAACACAATGTACATACCTAATTTAAAAATACTTTACTGCTACAAAATGTTAACAGTCATCTGACAATACAAAATTGCCATAGTCCTGCAGTTTGTACAAAAACAGTGTCTGCACAGTGCAGTGTAGTGGAGCACAGTAAAATGGACGACACTGTCCACATACGCCCTTTGCAGAGCACCTGTCAGTGTCACCTAAAGGTGTGTGTTAAGTGGTAGTCGCTCAGGTGTATTTACAAGCTAAATTCTAATAAAGATAGGTGGGAGATTTGTTGGGGGGCGGGTCATTTTTCAAGATTAGGTTTCAAGACTATGTGAATGAATGTAGAAGCTGATCAGGATATGAAATTTTTTTTTTCTCTAATGACATTATGAGCTTGTGTAGCTACCAGGCTTCTGAGTTCGTCTGTCAGAGATGGTTGGCCACAGGACAAGGGCAGAAGTGCCAAAGCCATCCAGGGAAAGCCCACGAGAAAGCACTGGCAGGGCTTGGTGTTACCCCGAGGTCTCTGATGCACGCCCCAACCTCCCCTCTCTGATTCAGACCAGGCAACTCAGCCCCGCCTCTTCTCCTGTTTGCCCAGTGATCTCAGGCAGCGGAGGAACTGCCCGTGTGTGCCACACTTTACTGCTTCTCTGAGGATTGACTATATGGGTTAGACAATGTTCTTTCTGTTAATAGAGGTCTTGTAAAAGTAAGGAGCGGTGCTGCTGAAGATAAGGGAGAGATAAGAAAATGTAGGCTGGAAGCGAAAACAAGATGATTAAAAAGGACATCTGCCCAAGGAGGGCTTTTCAGGCAATGGAAAATCACATAACTGGGTTAGGGAACAGCCAAGAGCACGGAACTTTGCCGCTCTCTGCTTTTCCCTGTCTCTGAGCCTTTCCCCCCAGCCAGGCAACTCCACGGATCTGACTGTGTTTTTCCAGTGTTAGTCTCATGACTGCTGCGCTCTGCTTCGGCACCTCTCACCTGCCCTCTCCAGCGCCCACCCCACACCTGCACTCACTGCCTCTCCTGGCTCCTGCTGGCTGATTAAGGGCCCAGCCCCTATTCCAAGGAAGGAACTGTTGCTGTGGTTCTTAACCTTGGTTAAGCACAAGTCTCTTCTGGGTTTTTTCCAAGTTCACATGATAAAGACCTCCCTGTACACTGCTGAATCAAGAGTCAAGGGTGTGAGTGTGTGTGCTTGCACACTTGTACACATACATAATGGAATACTCCTCGGCCATAATAAATAATGAAAATTTGGACTTCCTTGGAGGTCCAGTGGATAAGAATACACCTGCCAATGCAGGGGACATGGGTTTGATCCCTGGTCCGTAAAGATCCCACATGCCATGGAGCAACTGAGCGTGTGCACCACAGCTGCCGAGCTCACACTCTGGAGCCCATGAGCTTCAACACGGGGTTCATGCACATTTTAGGGCCCTCAGGCCATGAATACTGAGCCCAAATGCTGCAGCTGCTGAAGCCTACACGCCTAGAGCCCATGCTCCGCAACAAGAGAAGCCTGCAAATGAAAAGTAGCCCCTACTCACCAAAACTAGAGAAAGCTTGTGTGCAACAACCAAGACCCAGCACAACAGCAACAACAACAACAAAGGATGAGATTTTGCCATTTGCAACAACATGGATGGATTAGAGGATATTATGCCTAGTGAAATGCTTAGTGAAATAAGTCAGAGAAAGACTAATGCTGTATGACATCACTTATATGTGGAATCTAACCTAGTAAACAAAGCATAAAGAAGCTACATGGGAACACAGCCAATATTTTATAACTATATGGAGTATAACCTTTAAAAATGATGAATTACTGGGGAGTAACCCTGGGCCAGTGGTTAAGACTCTGCTTCCACAGCAGGGGACCACCTGTTCGATCTCTGGTCAGGGGACTAAGATCCCACAAGCCATGCAGCGTGGCCAAAAAATTGTGAATTACTGTGGAGAATCCCATGGACAGAGGAACCTGGTGGGTTACAGTCCATAGGGTTGCAAAGAGTCAAACACGACTGAAGTGACTTAGCACAGCACACCTAAAACTTATATAATGTTGTGCATCAACTGTACCTCGATTTAAAAAAAAAAAATCACAGATACCAGTATCTTTAAATCACTCCTCATGTGCTTCTCATGTACAGCCAGGATTGAGAATTACTAGACCACAGCAGCAAAATTCTAGAAATGAGAGCAAGACAATCAGCTGCTGGGTGAGCCTTTCCAGCATCTGCGTAACTAGAGAGCCAACTTCAGAACAGGCAAGAAGATTTCTGTGGAGAAGTGCGCCCAGTGCCACAGTGTCAAAGGGCAGGGGGCACAAGCCAAACCTGAAAGGTCTGTTTGGTCAGGTCCCCAAATTCCCTTACACACATGCCAACGAGAGCAGAGGTCATCTGGGGAGAGTCTACTCTGAGGGTGGAGAATCCCAGACAGTGTTACCCTGGAACAAAAGTGATCTCTGCTGGAACTAAGAAGGGGGAAAGATCATATTTGATAACATCTCGAATAAGGTACTTGTGAATAATCATTGGCCTCTACCATAGTTATTATGAGACTGTGACCTTTTTACAGGTACCATATTTAAATTGTTCTCACATAGAAGAATCCAGATCACAAACACATAAAATGATTACAGGTGATAAAAATATTCCTGTAATAAATACAGTCCTGATTAAAATAAGATAGAGAAAGAGAGAGAGTGAAAGCACTCAGTCATGTCTGACTCTTTGTGACACCATGGACGGTAGCCTACCACACTCCTCCGTCCATGGGATTCTCCAGGCAAGAGTACTGGAGGGGGTTGCCATTTCCTTCTCCAGAGGATCTTCCCAACCCAGGGATCAAACCCGGGTCTCCCTCGTTGTAGGCAGATGCTTTACCATCCGAGCCACCAGGGAAGTCCAAAATAATAGTTGAGGTTAAAAGATTATGTTGTGCTTTTTGCGTTTTGATAGTAATTCTACTTCAGTAAGCGCTATGCCATCTTTCCCCTTGTAAACCTTTGATACAGTTTGAAGCTACATTGGTTAGTATTGAATTATTATTGTCCAGTCTTTTAAAAGCAATTTTGCTATCTTAAAATATTCACAAGAAGAAGCAAAGCACCTTGAGAAACAGCAGGCACAGGATCAGATTGGCAGAGAATTTAGACAATGAAGATAGCAGATACAGATTTTAATACAGTTATGCCTGCTGTATTTAAATAAGTAAACAAAGTTGAAAATATTTACAAGAAGAAGAAACTATAAAAAGTGGCCCTAGAACTCCCCTCATGGTCCAGCGGTTGAGAGTCTGCCTGCCAGTGCAGGGAACACAAGTTCGACCCCTGGTCTGGGAAGATTCCACATGCTGCAGGGCAGCGAACCCTGTGCACCGCAGCTCCTGACCCCCTGCTCAGCCCGTGCTCTGCAACGAGAGAAGCCAGCACAGTGAGAGGCCCAGCTGCCACAGCTGGAGAAGCCTCTCCTGCAGCAGTGAGCACCCCGTGCACTGCAGTGGGACCCAGCACGGCCAGACATAGATAAGATTCTGTTTAAGGTGGCCCTCGCAGATTTGAAAAAGACCCAGACAAAATTTCTAGAACTGAACATTTTAATAACCATAATTAAAAGTGCAGAGGATAGATTTAATAGTAGTTAGATCATTATCTAAGAGCATACACGAACTAGAAAAGATCCAGAATATACTTCAGAGAGACAGAAAGACAAAAAAATATGAAAGGGGGAAGTGAAGCTTCCTGGAGGACAGTGTA